CGGAAACTACTAACAATCACCCATCAGAAAGCATGAAAGTGGAAAATGAATTCTTTTTGTGTTATAGAGAGCATCAGGGATCAAAGTTGCTCCGGAAACGTATAAAGCTAACCCGTTAAAGCAAAAGCATCAATGTAATCCATATTTATTCACAACCATATATGTAATGTTGTCATTACTAACGTCGTTGAAGGTTGGGAAGTGTCATATCACACACGTCTACTTCCCGCCCTCTCTATTTCCCACCCTCATTTCTTTCCCTCAATTATGTAATATTCCAGAGATTAATTTTGATCAGAATATGATGGTTGTAAATGAAATATCTAGTATAAAAGCCTCGGTAGGCAGTTTCATTCATTCATTGTTATGTAAAATACATGAGATATCTATATTTCAACTTAATGTTCAACAATAACTTTCTTTTATCTCTTGGAGCGCACGAAAGGAAATGCCTATTATGTTCGTGGAACACCGTGCGTACCTGGAAAGGATGGGGAAAACTTCAAAACTGAATTTGTTGACGTTTGTAGGAAAAATTAAAAATAACTATTTTGTATCTAGAGCGCGAAATGTTACTTTGGTGATGGAGCATGATAAAAATCTCCTGTATAAAACATTTTATCCATTTCTTGCATCTCTGGCTAAAGATATTCAAAGAAAACCCAAAAAATATATAAATTCAATACCCCGTATCTTTTATCTGAAGGCCTTGCAGACCCATCCCAGACAGCACTGGATATTCATAGAATATTCTCTAAATATGCTAAAAAGGAGGAGTATATTCCGAATATTCATCGATTATTACTAGAATATATACATGCCTCTGGAACATCTAAAAGGAATATTCCAAAGTGAATAGTCGGACATGTTCAGGGAATATTCAGGTATGAATCTTCCAGGAATATTCATAACTGAATATTCTCTGTTGTATATTCATGAAATATACCCAACTGAATATTCTTTGGGGTATATTCATGAAATATACCCAACTGAATATTCTGTGCGGTATATACATGAAATATTCTCAACTGAATATTCTGTGGTGTATATTCATGAAATATTCCATGAATATTCCTATGTTTCTCAACACATAAATACCATTTATTATTCCAGAGATGTGAGTATCGAACATCAATTAGATGTAAGGGGATTTTGAAACAAAAAGTGTTTAAGATCCGATTTCGAAAAATGCTCTCACAAGAACTTGATATGTATAACATTATTCAATTCGATTACTGGCCTAGTGGTCAAGGCGTTGCTCTGATAGTCTTGAGGTCACGAGTTCGATCCCTACTTGGGTCACTTTTTTTTTATTTTAGAATATGTTTATTGGAATATTCTAGGAACATTCAACATAGAATATTCTTTTGGGTATATTCTATGATTATCTGAGGAATTCCCATTCGCATATTTAGAGAATATTCCACAGATATTCCGGAATATTCCAGATTATTTCTAGAATATTCCAATATTCCAAAAGGAATATGATAGGGAGATTCATGGAATATCTGGTGCTGTCTGGGATGTTCATAGGAATTTTTTCTCTTATTTTAGTATCCTTCATTGTGTGGCACTATGCAATGTACTTTTTTCTATGTCACCCTGTATATCTTATATATTGTTATAACTATCACATTCATTTTCTCATTCTACTGTCGTGTCAATCGACAAAAAACCATACCTGTTCAGTAGGTTGTATATCATACTTTCATATAATATCTTGAAATCAAAATGTATTCTATCGAATATATGGTTTTGTATCTGAGAGTCATTTCAATTCATTATACCTAATATCGTGTTGAAACAATTTATTCTCTCGTCATTATAATGAAAATATGTGGTTACCACAAAAAGATATACAGGTTATCTCAATCACTCAGATAATGAATGAATTGGAAGTCATTTCAGAGAAATGCACTTGAAAACGAATGTAATAGTCGGACAAATAGATAATATTGTAATGTGATGATTAAATCTGATGATATATGAAGTCACAATCCAGGAACAAACAAATCTAACATTTCTAGGTATATAGATGCAGAGCTATATTATATCGACAATTATATGATACCATCTGAACTTGGTAATACTCAGCTTCGGTTACGGATCTTGAATAGAAAATCAAGGAAATCAAATTAAGTATTGAATGAACGAAGAACTATTGCTTGACCATGAATTTTCAAGGGAATATCACATTATTATGTCGAAATCGACATCATTATACTTGAATGGTCATTATTTGCAGTGGATTTCATCAAATCGAACCATTTAATTGAACAAGAGAATTATTGTTTTCAGTCATGCTCTTTTCATCAATCACATTCCGTGAAAATTTTGCATTTCATAATCGATAGGATTGATAATTAATTTTGGAGAGACATTTCTCAACACCGCACAAAAATATGTCGTTTCTATAACTATAGCAAATATTGACACTGTGATGGTTTTTGTCCGGAATAAATATTAGATATTTTCAGTTGTTGAACCAACTTATACAGGATATCCGAAAAGGTCATGTCATGAATAAAAAGGATAATATCATGGGCCGAAATGATGTTAGTACTTTATATCAAGAAAATGTTTATCGCACATTTACAGAACGACTGGATCGAATTAATTCCGATAACTGTCACGAGATGCACGCGGAGTCGACGCGGAGTGTGGCAATTTGCCGAAAATATTGTTGTTCGTTTTTACTCGAGGCACATTCGTCAACGATCGTTGTTCATTTCACCTATAAGAGTAATTCGCTATAAAATTAAGGGAATATGATGAAAAATCTATCGTCTGCGCGTGAATTATCATAGGTTTGAACATCATTGTCATCACAAAAAGACCAACGAAGTCGATGGATACACTACCAATAAAATGTCTCTAGTTATAGTGAAGTGTCGCTGGCGATATTTTTTCACGTAACATAGGAGAATATGATTAGAAATTGAATAACAGTCATCCATTCAGACATAACAAGAAAATGTAATAAGTGCTTTTTCCTTAGTGTGTGGAATCAAATGTCGAAATTATTAAGAGAGCTCAGCATTTCTATTTCAATCAATCAATCAATCAAAATATACTTTGATGCCTGGAGACACAAAATTCTCATTGACAAAGTCATAACATACATACATACATACTGAATGAGATATACCTAATATCACAGCATATATAGCAAGGAAGTGATGCTACAATCACACTCATACGAATAAAAGAATAATGATAAAGGAAATGAAAAAGACAGTATCAATACGGATCGAAATTGCATGTACTAAATTGATAACATAAACCCAAATGAATAAGAGTATTCCGTCAGGAGCTATCTTGTCATGAAAAAAATATTACTGAACATAATAATATGTTTTTTTGATGAGATGATGTTTCACAGATATCCTGAAATAAATTGGGAATACAATATTTATGAAATCGACTGGAAGATGATTATATGTATTGACAGCATTATAGATCAATGACTTTTTAGTCAAGCTCGTCGATGGAATGAAGTATTGTTTTGGCGAGTAGAACTTACAACCGCATCATATGACGATTTATTGTTGTGAACTAAACATACTGTTTCGAAAATGAAGGGGCACGGAAGTGTTAGGATTTTGTGCTCTGAGAACAGAGGTTTGCAAGATACTCTAGGTGCCACTTTGTAGAGGTATCGAATAGCCCGCTTCTGGAGGATGAAGATCGATTTGACATTCTGTTCACTGCAATAGCCCCAGAAAGGTATTCCATATTTATTATGTGTGACAATCAGAGCATGATATACTGATTTGGACGTGGACATGCCCAGTTCTCTAGACACTGTCCGCAATGTATAACACCCAGACGCCAATTTTTCACTCAAAAGTTTCACGTGATTATCAAAGTGGAGTTTTTCATCCAGATGAATACCAAGAAATTCAACTTCGTTCTTCTGTTCGAAGATGTCTGGTAGATGATATTCGATCGACAGGAGGCTAGTTTCACCTATATTGAACGACAGCAAATTTGAGTCTCACCACCTTTTCACAGCGGAAATATCGTTAAAAATTTCACACCAAACATTTTCGATCAATTCAAAGCATGTATTTCGTATTGTTATCACATAGCAACTGAACAAATTTCTTGGAAACTTTGTCCTACTCCTTGGGGGAAGGAGCATGAAATTACACTAGAATTTTTTTGACGTTTATAGGTTGAATAACATTTATCTACAACCATATATGTAGGGTTGTCATTGCTAACGTCATTGAAGGTTGAGAACTGTCACATTACACCCTCACTCATGTAATAATTCAGGTTTGTTCAGAACGAAACATAGATTTATTAATTGTGATCGAAATATGATGGTTGTAAATAAAATAGTATACAAACCTCGGCAGAAAGTTTCATTCCTGTCTCAAAATTATAGCTAACCTCGAGGCTTTGCGTCTCGGTTACCTAACTAATCTCACGACAGGAATGAATCACTTTCCACCGCGGTGTGTGATATACTATTCTATTCAACTTCAGATTATTTCGAATCATCCTATAAGTCGATGAATAGAAATCATATATCAACAGTTTACCATATAATATTATGTAGGTATACTTGCAAATTCGAAATTCACGAAAACACATGTTGTTACTATACGTTAGTTCTTACATCACATCACAAACAACAATCATGTTCATATAAACACTATGATATTAAACTTTCTCTTCAGTTTAGACATAATGAATGACATACGTGAATAAAGAAAAATATATTATATTCTTTTGAGTCAATATGGCTTTGAATGTACTATTCAAATTTCAAAACCATCAAAAATCGTCATTATCCAAGTAATTCTTTCTAAATATTTCAGTTTGAAATTTGCTCACCAAATATATCACTTCAGCTTCAATTAATATCCGTGAATTTTTTCTCGAACTCAAATATTTTGAAAATATCTCCGGAAATAATTGAAGATCTCGTGATATTATGAGTGACAATTTCAAAAATGCATCTCCATATCAGGATCTTATCTACGTGTTACCTCATAGGCATACCGAACCATATCCAATGGGTGCACTGGTTCCTCGCCCTTCATCCTCGCCCCAACCAGGTCCCAGTTGGTGAAATTCCTGACGTAGAATACCAACCCGGCAGGGGTGATTTCTTCCATCCCTGACAGATAAAAATCTGCTGGGAAAGCGCTGATGAACGTGATGTTGTGCCCCCTTGGAATCAATCCTCTAGCCAATTCCCAAAAGGGTATTTTGTGGGATTTCGTCCCTCCCATGGTGATCATGAGGATGTTGGCACAGGTACAAATGTTTATCACAGCCATGGATGCCGTCACGATGGGTAAGCGTTTGCCATACATTTCTGTGGAAATTGGAATACAGATTATTCATTCCACAGGATGTTGCAGGTTGAAATAGAAAGGAATTATAATGGGGAGAAAACAAACTTTGAAAACATGTTTTTAGGTAGGGAAAGGAGAATGTGTCAAAATAGGTGAATATCTTGGAAATCATTCATCAGATAGTCTTCAATTTAGGGTGATTTTAATTTGCCACGTTTCCATTCCTTCCGAGATTATTTATAACTTCCTTATTTTGAATAGAATACCCTGTATTTCATTGCATCTTCAGATTCTTCTTGAACATGTGATTTCATCGATCTATCACACTTGGAATCTAGCAGGAATGGTAACAGAGATATAGGGTATGAAAAATCGAGTTTTTTTTGTCAAAACTATTCATTTATGGTCGAAACGGCTGTTATGTTCCTATCTCCACTACTAATCCACTATCAACTGAAATTGAAAAAAATTCGAAGATTGAAAAAATTCGATTTATCACACATTATATCGCTAGACCCCAAGTGTGATAGATCAGAGAGAAATTAGTTCTCCGGAAATAATTTCAGAATCGAATAAAATGCAGGGTGTTCTATTTAAAATAAGGAAGTTGATAAGAATTCCGGAATAACTGAAAACGTGGCAACATTGACGATAAAATTTTGAAATCATCATGTGAATGAAATGAAAAAATCTAACAAACATTTAGCAAGTTTTAAACCTGTTCTCTCTCTTTTTCCTAACCATGTATACCGGATGACCCACAGCCAATTTACCCAGCTGTATCTTCGTTGCTTACACTTCCGGTTTGAACAGGAATGCATTAATTTTTTCAATTTCAAATACAAAGTATAGTTTTTTCGAATAACGATACTTACAGGGTGAGTCAACAATGTTTACTCATCTTTCTGGATGTGATATATAGTTCATTGAAAAATGATTTAATGAATAAACTGATGGCACAAAACGTCTAATGAGGAAGAGACTTATATCCTGCCACAGTTGATTGAATTGAAATGTTTTTTCCGCATAACTTCTAAACTGTGAAAGCTACGAAATCTGAATTAACTGCATAAAAGTGTGTTGATGAAATACTGGTTTTTGATACAATTCTACATTTCTGCTATATAGTTATGAAGAGTGTTTTTAGAAGGGGGTCAAGTTTTTTCAGAAAAAACAGTAATAGCAGTAATAGTAGAACAAAGCGAAAAAAACAAACCAAAAAAATGACGAAAACAATGTATTAACGTCAAAATTGGAAACAAAATTGGTCATGGCTTCTTAAATATTGTCATCGATATATTAATCTGCTGATATCATGTGACAACAGGAATTCAAATATCTCGAAAAACAAGAGTGATAATAGAGGGGTGAAAGTTTCCTTCCAAGAGTTATGACCCACCGTATGGAAACACCTTTTATAAGTAGGTATAGCAGGAATGTGGAAGTCTATCATAAAAATGTATTTCAGCAACATACATTTATTATCATAACTTCCCAACAATTTCTCTAAATTATTCGATTTTTTGATGAAACATTATACGCACCCGTTTCTATAGACTGACGTATGGAAAATTTAAGAAATTGCAGGACCGTACTTGCCGTAAAAGAGATCAGTTGCTTATTTCCAAATTCCACTGTTCCTGGTGAATTATTTGTCAATTCACCTATAGGGTATTATCGAAAGCAATGAGATAAATTGTGATGAAGTACGCCAATGTAGTATAGGTGAACTTTTTATGAAAATCAGAATTAAATAAATATTTGATGTACCTTTTGTTACATTTAAGTTTTACTTCCTGCCTCCATCAGGAACATTCGGCAGTAAGATACTGTTAAATTGTTATCAGAATATTAGTCACCAATCCATCGTGGCTCAAGTGAAAAAATTTTGCGAAACGGGATCCGTCTGCAATAAAAATCTTTTCAACCAAGAGTTATTGATGAAGCTGCTCAGATCGACGTGTTACTTTGCTATGGATTCGATGAGCTCTATCCCCAAAGTGTCGAAAACTACAATTATTTCGGTTGGTTCCAAGCATAAAGTGCTGAAACTGAATGAATTCTTTCCATATTAAATCCACCATCAACTTACCGAAGACGATCATGACCGCAGAATCGAATTCTTCGAGATAATGTCAGGGAAGATTCAACAAGATGTCAGATAATTGAACCACTCTTCATTGAATACAATTCGAATGGACAATTGTACCTGGATTCATTGGAAAATACAATTGATCCCCTCATTACACAATCTTTAGGGAGGCAAATCGATGATCATGAAAATATGTTGCTGGACGAAAATAACCTGTTATTTTCAGAAAGATGGAGCTCCACCACATTTTTTTCTAGAGGTGAGAGAATGGTGGACTCAACGATTTCCAAGGCAGTGGATTGGCAGAAGAGGTGTCATAGAATGGCCAGCAAGATCTCCAGATTTGACACCTCTTGACTATTTTCTGTGGGATCACTTGGAAACAATGGTTTACAAAAATCCACCAGAAGATATTGGTCAGCTCAGTAGAAGAATCATTCCAGAATGCAGACAAATCGATCGAGAAACGTTCACAAAATTCGTGAAGAATTCGAAAATAGGCTGTACTATTGTCTATAGAAACATTGAACACATTTTGAGCAATTGCTTCGGATACCACCCTGAAAAATCGTATTTCTCCTTGGACACGATATGTCAAAATAAATCATTCTAGTTGGTTTTGAAAGGAACTAATAGGGTATACCATTCTCAGCTGGATGAAGCACCAACACATTTCGTTCTGATCGAATGAAAAGATGTCATTGTTTACTGGAACTATTTATCCAGAGTGAACTCTTCGATAGCTGGCAACATTTCACAAGTACAGTCCTGAATTTTTGTCAATTCTGTATACTTTAGTCTATTGGTGTTGGAGTTCATAATGTTTCATGAAGAAATGGAATGAATCTAGGAAGCTGTTGGAAAAATGTGACAAAAATGTTTTTTCGCTCAATATAAGTCACCCTGTTTATCATTGTAGAAGAGGAGGAAAAACTTCAGATGGCCATTCGATATTCCCCTCAGGGGCCTCTCTCGTGGTAGGAGTATGTATGTACAGTACCTCATGACTCACCCTGTATACGAAACTAATATTCTTCCACCTGGTTGATTTGGATATTGATAGACCTTCAATTTCATGTATCTAAAAGTAGGGGGTGTCATTTGAGATTTCAAAGTAGGGGTGTCTGGAGGTGAAGGGGATGAACATAGCATTCAATTGATACTGTTATTTTACTTCCTCCTCGATATCTAAATCGACCTGTTTTTTCCGAAAAATGTAATCTTCGCAGATCAATAGATATGCAGGGTGATAATTTTTGAAATGGGAATCCTGTATATACGCAGAATTACGTTGAAATGAATTTACGTGAGGTCAAAGTTGATGAAACTGCTAAGTATTTTTCTCCTCCTTGTCGTTTGATTTGACCTCTTCCTACGATATTGACTCCTCTGTTGATGTGAAAATTGATTGCGATAAAAAAAACACAACAGTGATCAACTTATTTCATGATTCGAGCTTTTCTATTATTCTTTCATCTCTTTAATCACACGAAAGGGCATTCCCATATTGTTTCAAAAACACCGCGCGTACCTATAGGGAGGATAGGGAGAGAAAGTTGTTATTTTTCAACTTTTTGAGATTATACGTCCTTGACCACACTCTGGCATATGATTTGAAAGCTTTGCTGTTTTATGAAAAAAACGAGTATTCGTAATTTGTTGTATGACATATTTCTAAGTTGACAACGAAAGGATATGCTGACTGGGGTTGTCTAGAGTGCCTTGGAGTGCCTCGAACATATCATTTTACACTCTTTGAAGAGTCTGGACACACTTGTAATATTGTTGAACAGCTGGACGGAAAACATGAGACATGAATATGTTTCATAAGAAATGGAATATCATTTTTATGTACCCCTTCATTGAATGAGTGCAGACATATTTCAATTCGAAACCCAAACATTGGCGTAACACCAAAAGCACATGAATGCTCATTGTGTAGTTTCATCAATATCATGTCAATGCATGTATCCCCATGAAATGAATTTTTGAATTTGCAGCTTTAACGAACATTTGGAATGCTGTCTCGTCTTTGGAAAACACCAATAAATGTTAATCATCATTCTCGAATTTTTTTGCACCATATATATACTTATTTGAAAACGTTTCCGCGGCGACACAATTCAATTTTCAGAACTGACGTTTCAAATCTGAAAATAATGTCACTTCAATTGTGAAATGTCAGTGATGACAATCGTGTCCACACTCTACATAGGGCAAAAAATGACACTGTACGCTTGTCGTTCGTCTGACTGATATTGCAATTTTAGCAGAAATATCTGAAGAGCCGATTTATTGACGATGTTCAAATGGTGTCACCAAGAGTCACTGGATGGTATTAGTTTGATAAGAGTTCGGACACAGAAATGACAATGGTTAGGGTTTTTGAATGTTCAGATTTATAAAGTTACACACCGCGCATTGTGACAAGAGCACCAAAGTCGTCCCGCGCTTTTTCATTCAAATTTTCTTGAATTTGACAATTCATTTTATAAACGTCAGAATTGAAATGAACATAATTATTATACTTTCGAGATAAGCAGCTATGGAAATCACTTGCTGTATAATAAATTGTGCCAATTTTGGAACAAATGGATATCATTTATTCGATTTTCCAAATCAAATATCAAGTATTCGCTTATGGAAGAAAGATATGAAACGGCCTGGGTGGAAAATCAATTTGAAGACGAGCGAAATTTATGAGGTACTCATTGAAATTCAGTTCTTATAACAGCATCTGATCAGAATGAATCTATATTTTAGGCCGATTCTCAAACAGAAGATTTCAAAATCTGTTTGAGAGAATCTGCTGTACCATCAATTTACAAAGCAGACGATTTCAAGAACAAAATTCCATTATTATATCATCACACAAAATACAAAACGAGATAATCATGGAAAAAGGAGAAATGATCGCAAAATTACATT